CCCCCTTTGCCCCCCTGTTCGGCGGGCCTGATACTTTACCTGGAGTGACATCAAACTTTGAACTTGTAACCTTCAGTGCTAAAAACCTGAGTTTCTGCTGCTGGACTTTAACAATTCAGTTCAGCAGTTGTGAGCCGTAGCAGACACATGAGCAGAGCTGTTCAGGAAACAGAATTTCATTGTGCAGGAAATTCTAACATTTCAAAATTTCCTTTCATCCTCACTTGGAATGAAAAGTTGAATTTTCAAAATTTACCATAAAACAAAAATTGCAAAAAATGTTTCAGACACATCAAAACTATTTTCTTGAAACATTTCATTTCAATGAGGTTGAAAAGTTTCATTTGAACTTTATCATTTTGACTTTTCTGTCATAACTTATCACCTAATGTAGCATATAAATTGAAATGATAAAATCTAAACAAATTATTACAATAACTTCCTGTTGAAAATTTTGTTGAAATTGATAGGATTCCATGAAACTTTCAGTTTTGTCAAATCGGTATTTTCTGAGGAAAAACTCTTCCATCAGAAGGTTTTTGATTAGCTCTACTAATAAATATCTTATGCGGACCAGCCACTAGAGAGGGACAAAGACTCACTCTCCAAGTATGGGATATGCAAACAGCAGCAGCACAGAAATAAATCCAGAGAGACTTAGGGCTTGTCTACACTGCGACGTTGTTGACAAAACTTTTCTCTTTCACGGGTACTTAAAAAAGTCCCCCCCACCCCATGCGAAAGACAAAAGTTTTGCTAAAAGAAGAACAGGAGTACTTGTGGCACCTTAGAGACTAACAAATTTATTAGAGCATAAGCTTTCGTGGACTACAGCCCACTTCTTCGGATGCATACGCAAGTGGCAGTGTGAACGCGACACTCTTGCTGACAAAGCTAACTCTGCTCGCGGGGCTGGAAGTATTTTGTCGACAAAAGTGCTGACAAAATACCGACAGAGAACGTTTACACACACTGACTTTTAGCGACAAGGCTGTGTTGACACAGCCTTGTCGCTAAAAGCTGCGTAGTGTAGACAAGCCCTTAGAAGAGAAAGGCCCATATTTGTAAAGATATATTGGCATTGCTGCGCTCAGCGTTGTAATGCCTAGCTAATTTAGGAGCCTAAATCTCATTTTGAAAAGTGATTTAGGCACTTAGGGGGCCTAAATCCTATTAACTGCAAATGGGATTTAGATTCCTACGGCCGGCCTGGTCTACACTGGCGGGGGGCGATCGATCTAAGATACGCAACTTCAGCTACAAGAATAGCGTAGCTGAAGTCGACGTATCTTAGCTCGACTTAGAATAACTTACTTGGCGTCCGCGTGGTGTGGGATCGACGGCCGCGGCTCCCCCGTCGACTTTGCTTCCACCTCTCGCCGAGCTGGAGTTCAGCAGTCGATGGGAAAATGATCGGGGATCGATTTATCGCGTCTACACTACACGTGATAAATCGATCCCCGATAGATCGATCGCTACCCACCGATCTGGCGAGTAGTGTAGATGTACCCTAAGTGCCTAAATATCATAGGCTAAATTCATTATGTGCCCAAATCACATAGGCTTGCTTAGGCTCCTAAATCAGCTAGGCACTGCAATGCTGAGTTCAGCAATGCCTAAATGCCTTAAAAAATCTGGTCCAAAGCCAATGGCATGATAACAAACACAGGGACCTCTGGATGTGAAATGTGTGTGCTGTTCAGACTCCTTGCGAGTTTGGCCTCCTCCAGCAGTACAGCATGTGTGTGATCTGGTAGGAGGACACAGCCAACCAAGAACTAATAATGCAGAACTAAAGTGAGTGTAAGCATTTTATATGCAAATTGCACAGGTGTAGGGGCTGGAAGAATTAGGCCCTCTGTCTCCAAGCTCAGTGGAGGCTTTTCTTTCCCTCAGGATATTCCATGTGTGGTTGGAGGAATGGGGTGTAGCAGAGTGTCTCTACTTAAAATATCTTTTGTTCCCACACAGGACACAGTGGGGTATGTGAGGAAGGATCTAGTGGTTAAAGCCCAGGGGTGGGACTCCCGGAGATCTAGTTCCGTTCCTAGCTCTGCCTCTGACTTCCTGTGTCAGCTCAAATCGCTTCCCTTTCTCTGTCTCCCTTCTGTAAAGTGACAATAATGGCTGGGCTGAGATTTTCAAAGTTGCACAAAGGATGTGGATATCCAGTTCCCATTGGATGAATTTGGCCTCAGAATCCTGGAGGCAGATTTGAAAATCCACCAATAGTTCTCAATGTTCAGAAATAACCAGTGATTTGGGATGCCCAAATTGGGACACCTTGAGGGAGCCCAGTTTCCAGACAGCTCTGAGCACCCACCCTCTGGAAGTCTGACCCCTTCCAGGCATCTGCTGCTGGGCACCTGATCACTGGTCAGTTGCGAACATTTAGGCCAATAACACCTTTCCTGTGTTGTCAAGTGCCTGGAGATGCACAGCTGGAAAAGCACAAAGTATTCTCACACCCTCTTTACAGCAGTCACAAAGGCTGAATGATTTGCTTAAAGGCTGGGGGAGCTCAACCTGCAAGCCAGAGAACTAGGGTTTGACTCCTGGGTCTGATTCTTATTTGCTGTATCACCTAGCTACCGTCCTCCACCTGTAAAACAGGGATCGTCATCCTTATTTAGCTACCTCACAGGAGAAAGGGGGCTGAGAAGGTTAGAGACGAACAGCTATCCTTATGCTCAACTAATGCATTAACAAAGAGCCATATTGGACAGACTGCGTCTGTACCCTTCAAGTCAGTCACTTTGTTATTTTAAAAAATTGTAGTTTGCTTGAAGAATGTTGTTGCTGATGAAGGTTATTTCATATCACAGTAGCCACACTCAGGATGAGGAAACCAGTGTGTGAGCCAATGACCCGGCACGCCAAGGTTCTGCTTTCAGTCTCTCCATTGTATTTCCATTCCTTGTACATAGGGCTTCCTGCTATTAGTGCTGAATCTCGCCTTGTTGTCTCAATCTCCTGTGCTAATCCCTTCGGGACATTTTGTAGTTTATTTCTGTCCTGGTTGTTTGCTCCCCATCCAGTGCTGGCATCATCTGCAAACTGGACCATTGTTGAATTTACACCTCCGTCTAGGACAGTGGTTCTGGTGCTGTTTTCCACAGAGCACTGCCAGGTGGTTTGCAAAGCTGCTTCTAATAATGAAGCATATGTTGGTCTTCTGTGAGTGATGATTCTTTCTGCTGGCTCTAGCCCACTCCAGAACTCACCTAGGGTTTGAATTGCTAATGTTGTGGTTTTGAATGAACTAAACTGAAACAACTCCCTCTTTACCCCCTTTCCCTGTGGCAGCTCTGGGTCTGTCTTTGGGGTAAATTCAGCTGTGATCAGTGTTTTGGACACCAGAACTGGATGAGTAGGAGACATGCAGGAAGGCAGTACCCAGCTGCAAAGGGACAGAGTGATTAGCGAAACAAGGGGAGAGTGAGTACCAATATGAATAAAGTGCCACACCCAGGGCACCAAGACAAAAGGGGAGGTGTAGCCTAGTGGCTGACCCCATTAATAAGTTCAGTATCATCTTGGCTTCTTAGAGTGGTTACATAGACCAAACTGGATTCCTGGCTTAATATATTGTCTTTTCACACAGCCCGGCATTATAGGCTACATTGTGGCTTTGAAACCACAGATCTTGTTTGGCGGATGGACTCAAGGATTGCAATGCTTGGAAAACCAGAGAGGGGATGTCATGCCCTTTAATAGGGTTTAGTATTCATAGAACTGCATCAGTTCTACTGGCTGGTGTGGGCCATGTTCCCACCCTTACCCCATCCCTTTGGGTTGTCTGTCTCAAGGAGCAATCTTCTCCTCCCCAGTTTACTGGGGCTAGCCATTGTTTGGCCCTATACTTGCCTCAAAGTAGGGATGGGATCAGGATTGGGAGGCTGGATGGCTAAGAGCCCATGGGAGAAGCTTTAGTGTAAGAAGTGAGTCCACAGTAACTTTTAAAAACCACTCAACCAGAGTGCTGATGAAAGTGTAGGTCACAGCACGGAGCCCATTGAATACTGAGCCCTCTTGAATCCCCATAATGATCACGCCAATAACACATGTCCTTTATCAGTTTCCAGACATTTATATATTGACTCCCTTCATCAATTGTCTGGAATAGATGTCAACCCTTGGCTGTTATCAAAAACACAGCATGAAAATGTACAGCTCATAAACCATAATGCTGTGCAATGGAGGAACATCAGAGAACGTTCATCACCCCCATGAGCCAGTGTCTGTCAGACCTGTGTGAAAATAATAGTGAAAACTCATGGAAGGGCAGGAAGTGTTGAACACTAAGATCCAAAGTGAAAGTGTGAAGCAGATGTGACATCAAAGTGATGTCTGCCAGCTCAGGCAGGGGGTCATGAGGAGACGAGCTAATCAAATCCAAAAGGCAATCCAGAAAAATTGAACATCACAATATGCTACTATGCTACTCAACTCCTCAAAGTAGCTCTGAGGACAATACTTTCCTTTGCAAAGGGCTTTGGCTTCCTGTATGATGTAAAAGTAAATTCTCTTCCTCCCTAGACCTGTTGGTAGCTCAGCCATTAATATATTATTTAAAAAAAAAATGAAATATTCATTGGGTCTAAGTCTTGCAGCTCTTCCTCAGACATAACTTGAACTGATTTTGAAGATTGGACTTTGGGATTTGGCCCTTGGAGAAGGGCCTGTCTGTTGGGTGCATGATGTCTGCATCTAGCACAATATCACTGCCACACGCAGTGAAATCATCAAGAGAGCAACATAAAAATCAAAACAGTGGCTCGAGCTGGCAAAAAGAAGTGTGCCCAGGGCTTGCTAACTGAGAGACCAGCTCCTAACCCAGAAAGTGAGCACTTTCCATGTTGTACTTTGCATGATTTAGGCCTCATCCTGCAGCTGCTCTGTACATAGAACGCATGTTGAAGATACTCAGCAGGAATGCTGCACATGCAATGGCCTCAGGACTCGGCCCTACATTCAATTAAACTCTTATTCTCTTTCAGACGGACTCTTCTGTGCACCTACAAAGTTTGATGGTGTTCTGATCAAAAGCCCAAATGGTGTTGAGGTGGTTCAAACTCTGGAAAACTGTGAAATGAAAGAAACCTGCTATAGAGTTTCCTATGTGGAATATTATTATGAAATCATACACAACTCTGCTGGGGACAGAGAGGAGCGACTGAAGGTTAGTCGATTGCATGCGGCTCTAAAAGGGTCTTAGGGTTTGTCCAAACACAAAAGTTGTATTGCTTTACCTATAAGCCGTACAATTCCCACTCTTGTGTGGATGCATGTTAAACTGGCTTAAGGGTGCTCTATACCAGCATGGCTATTCCTGTACAGTTAAGGGCAATAAGTTATATTGGTATAAGTAAATTTATACCAGCATAAGTGGGCCCACACTATGGGTTATATTGGTATAATTACTTCATTAAAAAGTCACACATCTAATTGAAATAGTTACACCAGTACGATATCTGCGTATTGCCCAGGTCTTATTTCACTGCCATGGCTTAATCTACAATCCCAAACTAAGTTATAAAGCAATACCTTGTATTTTCTTGGGCAAAAAAATTCAGTGAAATGTTTAATGTGACTTTATCTTTAAAGTACCTCTGACACAATGAAAGCTGCATCCTTTACCAGACTTAATACTATTAGTCAGTTAAAGATGGGTTAAAATAACCTCTTGCATGTAGCCCGTATCAGGACACAGCACTGCCCCACAAGCAGGGTTTACTGCCAAGTAGCCGGAATGCTGTGTCCCTTTGGGTGGTTATCGGCAGGGCCTTGCAAGTGATTTTCATGTCTTTGTTTTGCAAATCTTTTCAGGAAATTGATGTGGGACGGTGCTTGGGGAGCTGCACCTCAGGGAATCACTGCCTGCTTAGGTAAGCACAGCTGGTCACACACAGCCCCTCCCCTTGCAGTAGGGTTAGCTACAATCCTCTAAAAATGCAGATTCCCTACAGAATGAAGGACAAATTCTGCCCAAACTTATATCCGTGTATCTCCATTGACCTGAATGCAATTGAACGAGTGTAAAGTCAGCGTCCAAGCTGCCTCCAGGGCGTCTGTCATTTTCATTTGGTTGCCAGCTAGTACTGTATTACCATTGTTGTTGGGCTCCACTGTCTCAGAGTTTGGTAGAAAGAACAGGAGTACTTGTGGCACCTTAGAGACTAACAAATTTATTAGAGCATAAGC